ACACACACACACGGTTCAGAATTTTATGTATTTTTTTTGAGACAGGGCCTCACTACATAGACCAGGCTGGCTTGGAACTACGTAGTCCAGCCTGGGCTTGAACTTGTGGCAATCCTCCTGCTTCAGCCTCCCAAGTGCTAGGATTACAGGTATGTGCCAGCTCGCCCTGAGAATGGGCAAGTTTAACATTATAAAGGAAACAAGCCACGGTCCATCCCCACATGTGGGTGCTAATCTCATTAACCAGAGGAAGCAGGATTTCTGTATTCCAAAACCAGCCCACAAAGGCAGGCAGGATAAGGAGAGCCTAGCACAGACTATGTCAATTTATAATTCATGGTTCCCCAACACGGAAGCAGTCTGGAAATCCTCTTTCGACAGTGTCTTCATGAAGTGTGATCAAAAGTATAGTTAATGCTGCTGCCAAGCACCATCAGAGAAAGCGGCTTGTGCAAACATGACGGTGCGTCCTCATCCACCTCTTAGCATTCGACATGTGACCTCTGGTTCTTCTCCAAAGGCTAAAAGGCCATGAAATGTAAACATCTGCAACTGGCAGCCACGCAGTGTGACTAAGGACTTGAAAGAGGGCTCCAGAGCCGCTCCAGAGTGGCAAGAATGGTAAGGTACGTGTGTCTGAAGCAGGGGGAGTATTCTGAGAGAGACTGATGGCAATGTTTCTTCACTGTAGCAATTTCTTTTTAAATTCAAACATTCACCATATCTTTCAATCACACTTCTTAACAGGTCAGAATATTAAGGACAAAGAGAAAGTCCTAAAATTCTAATCTGAGGCAAACTATTGACAGTGTTCAGATAGGCTAGGGAAATACTTCAGATATAGTATGTCAAAGGTTTTCATTACTCCTCTTTCTAGAAAATTACTAGAAATGTTTCTCAAAATGGGGCTGGGGTCAAAAACAAGGAAGGCATATGGGCCACAAAACAAGAGGATCCACCCCAAAAGAGGAGCCTGCTGCTGTGTCCACAAGGAGAGCAGCCTATGCTAGAGCAGCTTAGATGACCCAAGACAACTGCTGTGTCTGAGTGTCTCCACAGGGGGCTGTGGGCTTTGAGGGAAAGAGGGGGGAATGTATGTGATGAGATTAGAAAAGTAGCAAAGGAAAACAGTTACTAACTTCAGTTGAGTTAACGTTATCATTTATGATTTTTTAAATAAATAAAACAACTCCTGTAATGTGGTATGATTTGGTTCTCATAAACCAAATTAATTACCTTGTTAAGGTAATTAAATGGGGATCGTTTAGGTTTGGGGGAACTGTTGGACGAGACTCCCTTTGATGAATAATGGAGCAGCTGCCTGAAAAAAAAAACATACTCCAGCCTTTGTTCATTAATGGGAGCCCCAATAATCTCCACAGCCTTACGGGAGACACCCCAATAAACGTTGTTAGATGTATTATTCACGTTTTTTTTTTTTTTTTTGTCTTTTTGAGCCAGGATCTCACTATGCAGTTCAGGCTGGCCTTGAACTCACTTCATATCCCAGGCTGCCCTCGAACTCGCAATGATCCTCCTGCCTCAGCTTCCTGAGTGGTGGGATTATAGGCGCACACCATCACACCAGGCCTAGATATATTATGATGATATACTTACACTGATTATTGTCAAAAGGTCAAGTTTTCTGTAAATAGAACAATAAAGTCTTCTCATTAAAAGATGCTGTTGGTATAAAACTAAATTAAAAAACAAAAGTTTTCTTATGGCTATGATAGTTAATTATTGCTAATCTCTTTCTTTTTTTCTTTTTGAGGCAGGGTCTCACTATGCAGTTCAGGTTGGCCTTGAGCTCACTTTGTAGCCCAGGCTGGTCTCGAACTCTCAAGGATCCTCCTGCCTCAGCCTCCTGAGTACTGGGATTACAGGTGTGTGCCACCACGCCTGGCCTTGCTGGCTATACTTTATATTTCTTTTTTTTTTCCTTCCTAATCTCATGGTGTATTAAAAATGTTCATGCCTTCCAGATGTGCAGGTCTTCTGAAATATAAAACTAAGATAGTTTATAGTGATGTTTCTTCTATTAGATTCAGATAACCGACACGAGACCACTTGTCAAAAACTATTTTTTTTTTTTTTAAAAAAGGGCTTCTATGATGTTTACCTGTATTATTATATTTATTAGGTTATTAACGTTTTTTTTTTGGAAACCAGGAATCAAACTCAGGACCTCGCGCTTGCCAGGCAGGCACTGTGCTGCTGAGCTATACACCTGGCCAGAAATGTGTAGGTATTAAACAGTCTAGACAATGTCGCGAATTTCTTTAATGACAGTCAATTAAAAGACAACAAATTAGGTGAGAGCTTCTAGGGGGCTGGGGATATAGCTCAGTGGCATAAGCACTTGCTTCGCAAGCACAAGGTTGTGAGTTCAATCCCCAGTACCACAAAACAAAACAGAACAAAACACAAAACCGAGTACTTCTTATGTACTATATAGAGATGACTGACTAAAAAGGCTATTTTAGCCGGGGATACAGCTCAGTGCACAAGTGCCTGCCTGGTGAGCACAAGGTACGGAGTTCGATTCCTGGTACCAAAAAAAAAAAAAAAAAAAAAAAAAGCTATTTTATACCAAAATAGAGATTTAAATGTTACCAAAATAATGTCATCATAACTGTCATACTAAAATACTATATGGCTTTTAATCTTAAGTTTTCTTCATAAATTATAACTGTTATCTGTTAACATTCTACAGGGATTCAACTAGAACAATGGTTGGTACAGAATAACAGTCTACTGGCTATACTTTATATTTCAAAATGCTTGATATCCAGATAAAATTATAATTAAGCTCATAGCATTGTAGTATGCTAATGTCACTGATCTTTTCCTCTGGGTGTTCAACAACTGATATTTTACGTAACTAGGCTAAGAGGACAGCCAGTATTTTGGCCCAGTTCTCCAAGGTCAACGAGGACCCAAGACATGAGGGAACCTCTGCTGTGACATCCTACAACTCTGGTAAATCACCTGTTCTCCCAGCCAGGGAGGCTGATGAACCACAGAGCACAGAAATCAACAATGTACAGTGTGGCCACGCAGAGTCACCAGAAGAGATGGGGATATAGCTCAGCGGCACAAGCGCCTGCCTAGCAAGCACAAGGTCCTGCGTTCAACTCCTAGTACCCCAAAATAAAGAAAAGGAAAAGGACAATCACCAGGAGAAAAAAGTCTCCCATGCTTTCATAGAAAACAATCAGCCTTGCAAAGGCTGTGACTCATACTGATGGCTGACACTGACGGAAAAACTGAGAGGCTCTATACATGGTTCAAAGGTAGATCCTGAAGAGACTTAACTGACCTTGATAGATGTCTCACTTTAACTTGGTCCTGAACATCCAGCAGAAATGTATAACCAAAAGATATATAAAACAATGTCATAATAATAAGCTAGATATAGGAAGGGGCTCCAATCACTAACCCATTCTGGCAGTTTCCAACTATACCAGTAACTAACCACTGTTACGTGTTACTAATAATAAATTAAAATAAAACCTGTCTCCCCTTACATTGACCCTTCTTAGCTCAAAGCAGTTAAGATGGAATTTATGCCCATTCTCCCCAAACCACAGTTAGAGATACTTCTTCAGAGTGGGACTATTATTGATAGCTCAGTTATTTAGACCCACATACTCACCTTTCTTTAAAAACACAATTACAAAAACAAAAAGGAGGAATATAGTTACCTCCACATGCACAATTAGATCTTGTTATCTTTACCTTAAAAATTGTACTTTAAAATTTTAGACCTGGTTGCAGAAAGTAAATACTCTCCAGCAGAAATTCATTGGCAAAAGGACAATTCTGATGAGCACCTCTAGGGCTCAGGTCCTGTACAAGGTCATCCAAACAGGAAAGTGGGATGGCCCAGTACAGTTGTAACACGGGGCCAAGGGTATGCGTGTGTGTTAACAGACAATGGAACACCATTATGGCCTGTGGAGGACCACCTGGGCAACTCTCCTTGGAGGAGGAGCAACTGTCTCCATTTTGGCTGAACCTGGCCCTATTTCCATGTATTGGTGTATGTAGAGCTGGCTAGGCTTTAAGCCATGCAAATCTGTTCAGCCATGACGCTGACGTGTAGTCTCTGGTTTTTTTCCCAGTACCGGGAATCGGACTCACAACCTTGTGCTTGCCAGGCATGCACTGTGCCGCTGAGCTAAATCCCTAGCCCCTCTTATGTGTAGTCTTTGAGGCAAAGCAACAGGGCCATGTTTCTCTGGGCCCCTGTAGCTCCCATACGTGAGCCGGGGTAGAATGGAAAGCTGTGCTCCATGCTGTTGGCTAATACAGAGCCTCAAGGTAAGATGACTTCCCCGGGCATAAAGGATTAGAGAGCTAAGGCACCAACCCCCAAACATCCGACACTACCTCAGTGGTGATACACAGATTACTCTTTCTGCATATCCTTCTCTGACATATTGCAGAGGTGATTTCAGGCCTATACCTAGCTCTGCTCACATCACCCACCTATTCCCTGCCATTTTCACAGTCACTCATCCTCAAGCCACTCCTATTCTTTTTTTTTTTACAAATTAATAAAATCCATGTTTGGCCCTGGGTTGAGGCCTTTGTTCTGGTTAGCCACCTTTGTGGCTGGACTTAGGACCCCCCTGGCTCCCCACAACTGCAAATATGCCTTAGTATCTTTGTTTTTGCCATGGGTTGCACTGAGAGTGGTAGACTGAAATTAACTCACTAGGATTCCAGTAACTTTTCCATGGTATTGCAAATATAAACTTCCTGGGCTGCAGTGAAGACCAGAAAAGGCTCCCTATAAGGGCTGCCTGCCTGGAACCTGTGACCATAAAGACAGGAACATCCCAGCCCCACCAATGCAAGCATTCTTGAGGATGACCCTTGAGGGAAGCCCAACACTCCAAGTACTAAGATCCACACAGGCTACAAAACCCTCGAGATGGAGATAACTAAAGAAGACAAGGAAAGAGGCAGGCTCATGGTGACATAACACGACCTCCCACCAACTCCTAAAGATGTTTTGTTGGTATGATGGCCATCAGAGTCTGTATGCTGTTTCAACTGAGGCAATTACAAAACAAAAAGGGGGAAACGTTGGGAACCACATTACCAATTGACATAGTATCTGTCCTAGATGCTCCTTATCTGGGCTGCCTTGTGGGCTGGTTTTGGAATGCAGAAATCCTGCTTCCTCTGGTCAATGAGATTAGCACCCACACATGGAGATGGATCTTGGCTTGTTTCCTTTATGATGTTAAACCTGCCCATTCTACCACTGTTTCTATGCTGTTCCAGGAGGAAGACCCTACCCTCCTACCCTGTCCCCTTCAAGGGCTAATAAAATGGTGGCTAGCTGGAGATTGGGGCACTTTGTTCCCCAAGAGGAACTGGTTGTTCCCAAATCCCCAACACACCCTCTCCTTTTCTCTTGCTCTTTTCTTTCTTTCCTGCCATGCGCTGTAACCTGGGCAGGAGATTGGAAGCTCCCTGCAGGCGTCCTCAGTAACTGACACTGACTGTGAAAAGCGTCTCATACTTTAGAAAGGGGTAACAGCAAGGGGATAAGTGTGTTCCAAGTGAAGGGGAGTATTTTGAGAAAGATGAATGGCAGTGTCTTTTACTGAAATAAATTCTTAAAAATTTAAATACAGTGATACTGCCATTTACAAATGCTTTTGTTTGCAAACAATTTGGTTTGCAAACAAGCATTTGGCAAAATTTTGCTTTTGCTTTCAAACTCTGTACCAGGTGACAGACACAACTATGGCCATCTTTCCCACACAAACATAAATGGGGCCATCTTTTCCAAAATAGTACAACAAATTACGTTTGTGAACTGAGGCACCACTGTACTCTCTATATATTTCGGTTATCCTTATATTAGCCTATCTCTTACTGGGCACCTGTATTTATTATGGGAGGGTCTGAATTTTCCCTCTTGTAGTTTGTGCAGAGCTGGGGACTGAACCCATGCCCTTGCACACGCTAGGTAAGTGCTCTATGACACCTCAGACCAAGTGTTTCAATCTGGAAACAAACTTTTCTTGAATTATCTCACTGACACCTTTCTTCTCCCTCTCCAGTCAGTTACGTATCTGCAGCACTGGAGTCATTAGCTTGCATGCACATGCGCTCATCTACCGTGCTCTACTGCACTCTGTGCTGCTCTCTCCTGACCTGGTCTTTCAGTCTCACAAGCTGGCTCTATTTTCTATGCTCAGTCTCAATGTGGGCTTACTTCTTTCAGGGCTTACTTCTGGGACCCTTTCTCTATGAACATTTGAAGTGAATTTATCAAACTAAATATTACTCCCAGCTCTTTATGTCCAGCCCTTATTTCACTTTACTCCACAAATCTCACTGCCTTCTGGACATTTGCATTTGGATTGCCTAGCAGATATCTTGGACATAGAGGCTGAGCACGAGGGTCCACACCTGTAATACTAGCACTCAAGAGGCTGAGGCAGGAGAACTGCCGGAAGCTTGAGGCCAGCCTGGGTTCCATAGTACATTTCAGGCCAACCTGAAGTACGCAGCATGACCCTTTCTCAAAATAGACAGGTAAGACAGATGGACAAACTTAGGATGTCCACTCTTTTCCTCTTACTCCACTGTCCATCTATCAAGTTTTGTAGCTCTATAGTATCTCCTAATACATCATCCTAAATGTATCCTCTTGCCCTATCTTTCTGGTGCTGAGGATTAAACTCAGGAAACTCTACCCTCAGTCCAATCCTTTTTTTTCTTCTTGGGGATTCTTCTGGAGATTGAACCCAGGGTCTCTGCATTGAGCTACATCCCCCAACCTATTTTCTGTTTTGAGGCAGGTCTCACTACGTTGCTAAATTGCTCAGGCTGAGTTGGAATTTACATTCCACCTGCTGAAGCCTCCCAGATTATAGGTTTGTACCACCATAGCCAGTTTAGTCCAATCCTCTTTCATTTCTTTTGGTTTTGCTGCTGTTTTAGCTTTTGTCTGTTTGTTTTTTGAGATAGGGTCTTGTTATATAGTTCAGGCTGGTCTTGAACTCACTATGGAGCCCAGGCTGGCTTTGAACTCACAGCAATTCTCCTGCCTCAGCCTCCTGAGTATTAAGATTACAACTGTGTGTGGCACTAAGCCTGGCCTGTCTTTCATTTCTACTGCCACCTCCATTCTGATAAAAACCCTAGCCACCACTACCCCTTCCCTCCCTCCCTCTCTCTCTCATATATATTCCTACAACTATTTCCCAAGTGTTTTTCCTCTTTTTTTTTGGTGTGTATGGGGGCTGGGAATTGAACCCAGGGGCACTGTAACACTGAGCTACACCTTTAGCCTTTTTAAATTTTTATTTTATTTTTTTTAGTTTGAGACTTAGTTGCCCAGGCTAGCTTTTTTTTTTTTTTTTTTTAATCTTTTTAAAGACAGGGTCTCACTATGCAGTTCAGACTGGCCTTGAACTCACTTTGTAGCCCAGATTGGTCTCAAACTCACAGCGACCCTCCTGCCTCAGCCTCCCACATGCTGGGATTACAGGCATATGCCACCACGCTCATCGCCCAGGCTAGCTTTGAACTTGTGACAAGACACCTGACTAGGTGGGATTACACGTGTATGCTACCACACTGCCTAAATTCTCCCTTTGTTGCCCTAAGATTTATATTCCATGAAGAAACCAGAGTATATTTGTGTGTGTATGACAGGGTCTCACTATGTAGGTCAGGCTGGTCTTCAACTTACTGTGTAGCCCAAGTGGGCCTCAAACTCGTGGTGAACCTCATACTCAGCTTCTAGAGTGCTGGAATTATACACCTGGCCAGGAACCACTGTAATCTTTAAAAGGCAGAAATCATCACTTACCTAATAGCTTCCTTTTGTGCCATGAATTTGATTCTAACTTTTCATTCTAGATTACAAAGCCTATATAATCAAGTCACTGCCTACTTTTCTATTACGAATACATTTCACTTGCTAGAGTAAATCACGCTCAGTTAGTATATTCATACACCTATGAAATTTAGGTCATCATTTTTTTGCAACAGAAAATTACAATATACTATTCAATTACTCTATGGCTTCATTTTAAGAATGCCCAAGAAATGTGCTGGGAATTCAAGAAATAAGATTTAGTTAGTAAAATGTCCACTTGAGTATTCTATTTTTAGTTTCTATATTTTTTTTCTTTCTTTTTCTTTGTCTTTTTGAGGCAGGGTCTCACTATGCAGTTCAAGCTGGCCTTGAGCTCACTTTGTAGCCTAGGCTGGTCTCAAACTTGCAATGATCTTCCTGTCTCAGCCTCCCAAGTGTTGGGATTACAGGTGTGAGCCACCATGCCCAGCTAGTTTCAATTTTTAGGTTTCTGATGCAAATAAGAACATGCCCCTCAGTCTCTGAAGGGCCCCTGTCCCTAACTACTTACCCTGTAGGTAAACACTCTTCAAGTCTCTTGTACTGGTAGCCAGAGTTAGGGTTGATTTGGCCTCCTGGGGTACAGGCTGTAGCTTGGATAGTTAGCTGGTGGCAGGCACACTTC